TTCCGCTCTTTCCCCGCACATTCACACCTGGGACCCGAACTCCTCCCATCTCTGCCTGGTGAGATGCTTCAGTCCTTTAAGTCCTAACCACACCCTTCTCTCTCCGATAAGATCTTCCTAAACCTCAGAGACAAAAACTGCCTCACCTGTGACCACAGTACTTCATTTCTCAGAGGGACAATGCTTGTGAGGAAGCCTCCCACAGGACCACGCCCTTGTCCTTTGCACCCTCCAGGGCCTGGCACGCCTCGGCTGCTTAGCGAGTGTCTGAGTGGATGGAGATGCTCACACACCCCGATTTGACTCACAGAGGGTGATCTTCTCTGCTTGTGCGAGGGGAGCAGGAGCACATAATGATAAAACGGGTTTTTAGAAAGCAATGCTGTTTGTACCAAAATATTTAATGAATATGCTGTTAAAATAAAACCAACAGAAGAGATAGTAATACAACTTTACTGGTTTATATTTCAGTTCATAGCGTTAACACACTGGAACTACCCTAGCACAATGTCCACGCGCCTCGTTTTAGATGGGCTTACAGCTGTTCTGGTAACTGAACAAGAAAGACACCGCGTGGTGGAGGGGACAGCTGCGGGGTAGGGGACTGCCACTCGTTACCTCCCTCATCACAGGTGGCCTCGGCAACTGTCAGTCAGCACAGCCCAGGGGAGGAGAGATACAAAACAACCAAGTGTCTCTACATACAAACCAGTGCCTCTTGTAAGCAGCCACCTCCACACCACACACAGAAAGACGGAATCATCTCTGAGATGGCCTGTCAGCACCTCGCCGTGTAAATGAACAGCTGAAGTTATTTTTTAAAGGTGTTAAAACTTCCATAACGTAGTTTTGAAGTGAGAACTTGCAGCCCATCTGAACAGCAAGGTTTACAACCCAGCCACACTCCAAGGAGGGCCCAGGCAGGCAGGGACACAGGCCAGCAGGACGGGGGCCTCTCGGCATGTGTGTCCTACACATACTCACATTTACACAAACACGTACACAGCTCAGTGTCTGTCTCACTTATACAACCTGTTGTGTGAAACCCCGGGAGTCTGGACGTTAACAGCAGGGAGGAGAGCAGAACCCAACCAACCTTGAGTGAAATTAAGTGCCCAATAACCATATAATTAAGTTGTGCAGATCAGTCCTAGTCTGAGATTTAAACACTGTCATCGGGGGCACGGGGAGAGATATTTATATATATATATACACACACACACACGACACATTGAGCAAAATAGGATTTGTCCACATTGTGATTAATCCAGCCTCACAGTCAGTCAGCTCACACACTCCAGCACTGGAAGTCACTTTGGCAGCTAACACTAAAAAAACAACAGGACTATGAGAGTTGCATAGAATTGATCAAAAACGTGAATAATGCCAAACCAAAAACCTGTGCATCATATAGTTTAACAAAACTAGGTGGCTTCAACTACAACCATGAAACCCTCCTATTTAAAACAAAGTGCTTCTCCATATCTACCTGGAGGACCCTCTGCTGGCACTGAAGCAGATAAGAATTATTTCAGTTACTTATCCCCTTCCCCGCCCACACCCCAATATATATAATATGTATATTAAAAAAAAAAAAGATTAAAGGTTTAGAAAAAAACAACAGCCTGAAAGGATCCCCCAACTCTGTCAGCTCGGCCTGTGGGCCGGGTGAGGTGCTGACCTACACTGGGAAGAGGCCTGGAGGTCACCCGAGGGGCGACTGGAGCACATCCGGAACGGCTGTTGGGCTAGCAAGCCTGTTAGTGTCAGTAGTGAGGGGGGCCTTACCCAGAGGCTGCCTGCTTCATGAGCTCTGGTCCAACGACCTACCAATATGCTTCTATGAAACTGACTTGGGTACAGTCTGGTCCTGGGACATGTCACAGAATCACACATCTGGCCAAAGAAGGCAACAAAAGGTGTCGTGTTCTCAGAAGGTGTCCGGAGGCAGCAGTGCTCTCAGCAAGTCTCTTTGCCTTGGACCCCGGTCGCCGTCTTGATGGAGCTCAGCGTTCGGTTAAACCATGTCTTCTTGGCTGCCTGCACCTCGTTTAGGGCAAGGCCCAAATGGTGCTCTAAGTCCTGCAGGAGCAACAACATGCAAGTGGTTGTCAGCTCCAGTGTCAATGACATTTCCTCCCCAGAGCTCGGCCAAGACAGGAATTCAGTCTATTTACTCATGAGAGGCCCCTAGAAATCCCCCCAGTCTCAAACTGGCAATAGAAAGACCTGGAATGCCTAAAGCTGTGGGATCTGTGCGAGTCATGACCTCATTTCTTACCTAGTCTGTTCATTAAAACAGCCTCCTAAATGGGCATCTCTCTCTCTCCCGTCCACCCACTGCATGCCAGGTAGACAGAGCTAAAGCTCTAAGTAAGACCACATCACTGGCTTCCAGCAAGAACCTTTAAAGTCTGGACTCCCTGACAAGGCATTTGAGATGCTTCAGTCCAGACCCACACACTCTCTTCCAGCTCAGCACCCATTTCCACCCCTAATTCCTGAAGCTCCTTACTGGGCAAGCCCTCTCCTCCCTCTAGGCTGCTCAACATGCCACTTCCTCCACCAGGAATTCTCACTGTTCTCTCTCTCCTGTAGCTGCAAGCCCTGTTCATTCTATTACCACTGCTGCCTTGATGATGCCTTTCCTGGAGAGCCATATAAGCCATGTCTTCGCTCTGCAGCCCTAGCAGCTAGGACAGGGCCCGACAAAGAGCAGGCGCCCAGTGATGTGGGAGACCAGGCCCTAAGCTTTAGTCCTGAACTTGGTTCCTCAGACCCACAGGGCTTAGTGCTTTGTGCTCAGTGCTTTGTGCTCAGTACTGGCGCTGATGGAACTAGCCATGCAGTATAAAGATGAGCAAAATAAGCCCCAATTTCATCAGCAATGAGGGCTCAGATAAATTAGGCAATATGTCCAGAGTCACAAAGCTAGTTATTGTGATGGGAGTTGGGACATAAAAGCTGGCATTTGCGAAGCCCTCAGGCACTGCACTAAGCCCTTTTTGTGCATTATCTTCTTTCGTCCTCAGGGCTAGTAGATAGGGACCCTCATCTGCACTTGCAGATGAGGAACCTGAAGTGTCAGTTACTAACTAACCCAGTATCAGAGAGTTGGCTGGTGCAAAGCACGTGTTCTCTGCCCCACCGACAAGATGCCAAGCTTGATGGGTAATTCTCATTATGAGAAAGTCCAATCCTCAGGGCAGGCCACGTACCAATTAAACATCCACTGGTAAACAACAAGTAATAAGCTTCTTCCTGTGAGGATTATGGTCAAAGTCCAACAGGGAAGACTCCCAACCCGTAAAGATCACTCCTGGCGCTTCCAGCCCACACCAGGAAATCCCTCACACGCGGGGCCAAGCCCCGCTGCACCAAGAGCAGAGGCGTTACTTGTCACTGGGGTGGGGGTTCAGGGACCTGGGGGCCTGGAGGCTCTGGCTCTTACCTGGATCTTACACTCGGCTTCCACCAACTGCAGCTTGGTCTGCGCCAGTTCTAGTTCCATCTCCCTCAGCTGGTTCTTGAGCGTCTCCTTCTCTTCGTCTGTGTCCTCATCTAAAACTTCCTTAGCTGCGCTGATGCCCTTTACACGCCCTTCCTTGTTGAAAAATTCCCGGCAGCGCTCACAGTCATCCACTTTTTGCTGAAATTCAATGTCAGATGTGAAGAGACAGAGAAGAGAAACTGACCCTTTAGGAAGGTGTGAGCATCTCCTTCCTGGGGAGCCAAGAGAGGGCTTCTCAGTGGAGCACTACAGCTTCTGAAAGTCTACCTGGCTCCTTGTAAACCTGCAGACAGCCTACTGGAAAAGCCACCTGGTATCACACACCAAAAACAACAAACATACTCTTATGTCTCGATCCAGTAATCTCGGCTAAAAAAAAAAATGAAGAAGCAGTGACTACATAAAGGTTTATGTACCAGGTCACTGCAGAATTAGAGAGAAGGAAAAAAGGGAGGGATAAGCCATCCAGCACCTGGGACACATTCCATACGCTGTGCTCTATTTATACACGAAGTAGGCAGCCTCTAAAAAGTTTGTGAGGAATCTTCCATATCATGGTAAAATGGTTAAATGCTGAGTGAACCAGGACAGAAAAATGTGTATTAACTATGGCTACAGAGGTATACCATGTTTCATCAAAGTAAGATGCCCTGACTGTAAGAAACGTCATTTTATGTTCCTGTGAGAAAATATTCTGTCAATTAAACCACAAAAAGTCATCAGTCATAAAATATGCCTCAATTTCAGGTTCCCAGAATGTGGAAAAATGTGTATCTTAGAACAAAATTTTGTATGTTAAAAACAGAACAAAGACTGAAAGAATATACGCCGAAGCGTTAATAATGGTGATGTTATCTGTGGGTGATAAGATAAGGGGTTTTTTCTTATTTACTCTTATTTTCCAATTTTTCTGCAATGATCATTAATTTAAGAATCACAAAATGAATTATATTTTAAAAAATAGATACTGCTGGTTAAACACTACTTATGACCAGGTGTCCTGTTCCAGGTACAATTCTGTTTTGTGCAAACACAGCTACAAGCACAGAACTTGCCCACATTCCTGTCCACCAAGATGAAAGTATGTTAGAAAAGCACCTTTCAGTAAATCACTCATCCTAGTAAAATCTGCTAAGCACTCTAATACACGTACGGCTTAAAGAAAGGATGCCCAGTTACAAAAGCCTCCAAAATGGCAGCAGCACATTGTGGTACTTGGATCTGTTAGGACAGAAGGAACTGAGCTCGGAGGGGGAGTGTCCCGTTCTACGCAAGGTGGGGAGTGACGAATCATGCCACGTGGTCCTGACCTCTGTACCCTCACTACCTCAGGCCTAATCTGTGTTCGGGACCCCTCTGCCTCAGCTGGCACCAAGGCCCTCACGTCCCGTAATGACAACACCTGGAAATCGTGGCGCCTGCTTTGTTTTCGGTCAAGCTATCGGAGGAGGGTGTCCGACAAGTCTGTAAGGACCAGGGGTGCCTGCATTTGAGATCTAAAGCCAGAGTGCCTTTGGCCTCCTCTGTACTCCCTTCCAGAGGAAACAGGCATGATGTCGGCTGTCAATGACTGAGCCAGGCGGCCTATCAGGGACTCGTCGGCTTCTCCCGCTTCTGAAATCAAAGCAAACGAGCCCCTCTCCAAATCTGCTGTGCTGATCACGGACATAAACTGAGCTAGGTGGTATAACATTTCTTTGGGAAAGGAAGACTTACCCGAATTTTCTCAATTTCCACTTTATTAGCTGTCTGCTGCTTCTCCAGTCTTTCACTCAACTGAGAACAAATCTAAAGAAACAAATGGAATATCAAATGACAATCTGCATGCTTTGGCCTAGGGACAAATTCTACAGTGGCAGCTGGCCTATGCCAAGCAGAGTGAAGACAGAAGCCCACATGCCACTCCTGCCAGGAGGATGGAAGCTGACGGATGAGCACAGGTGCCTCTGGCTGTGCCACCTCTGCATCCTTTGGCCTGGACTTGCAGGAACCTGTCAGTGCCATATAAACACTTGCCAGACTCACGAGCCAACGTGAGATCCTGGTATAGGAGAGACGAGACCAATTCAGTTACGTTCTTTAAATGCGAGTGGCCAGGGAGAGAGCTGGTTGACGCCACACGGGCCCACGTGAACTAAGGCCCGAACCTGCATAGGAGATGCTCCCGAGAACACGGTGTGGCTTCACCAAGTGCCTACTTATACGCTGGGCACGAAGCCAGGTGCTCTGCCAGCACGACCTCACAGAATGCTCACAGTGGCTGAGACAGCGATCATTTCCCTTATTTGACAGTGAAGAGTCAGCAAAGTAACTCGTCCAGTGAAGTGACTTGTCAGTGCCAGTGGCAGAGCCGGGAAGCACCGGGGTGTGGAGAGGGTACAGTCCATCCAGGCACACGGGGCTTCCAGAGAACACGGCCCCATCCAGGGCACACAGACCCACCTGCTTGTAGTCACCGATGATAGAACTGTTTTTTTTAATCTCAGATTCTGCCTTGTCGAGTTCCCGCCGACACATTTCTTTTAACTGCATACATGAAAAGGCAGAAGTGAACGCTTTAAGGGAAACATGCAAAGCCAGCGCTGGCACTAACTGCTTAGTGCTGGGCTTCCCAGAAGTGCCCAACTCTGGAGGGTCTAATTCACCTCCCCGGGGCTTCCTTCACTCCCCGCAGCTCTAACTCCCTGTTCTCGATGCCAGAAGAGGGAGAGGACAGTCAATCCCAAAGCACCGAACCCCACTGCGGACTGCGGCTTCTGCTGAAGTCCCTCTCTGCCAGGGCCACCCGACCGGTGAGCCTGAGCTGAGCAGACAGCACGAACCAAACAGACCAAGGAGCTACCCAGGGGGCTACGCACCCTCAGGACCTCGCGGTTTGTGTGGAGGGTGCCCTGTCATCTCTCACCTCGGGCCGTGCTGAGACCGGAGGGAACACCGGGCAAGGGTGGGGCGCTTGCTCCAAGGCACACAGCAACCTCAGCTCTTCCTGTGGCTGCACGTCTGTGCCCCCAGTGACTGCAGAGCTGGCCCTGGACAAGCCTTCCAGAGATTGCTCTATGCGGGAAACGTTGGGACAGGCAGGGCAAGAGCCAGACACTTTAGGATATTTGCTTTCCTTCTGCAGAAATGCTAACCCTACTCATCATCACACCCAGGTGCTGACCGCAGGAATTTCGTCTCCTGCCCCAAAGAAAGATGGGCTTTACCCCACTGTCTCCTCCTGTACTTTAATTATTAAGAACCATTATGCTTTACACAGGAAAGGATAAAGGGCTCTGGAGAGAAAACGAAGCCAGCTGTCTCTGGGGTCTCCAGTGTCAACAGGAAGCTTCCAGCTGAACTGCCAACTATCTAGCATTTATGAGACAGCGGGACCCGGAAGGGGCGAAGCGCCCCTCACCTGAGCTGACTCTTCTTCCAGCCGCCTCTTCTCTTCTTCTGCATCGATCAGCTTCTGCTTGGTCATAAGCAGCTCCTTATTCAGGGCATCTGCCTTTTCCTCGGCCTGAAACATTTAAGAGCCGTTGTTACAGAACGAGATTTGAGAACTGGAAGGGATTTGAATCGTCCCGCACAATCTCGTTTTGAGATGATGGGGAAACTGTGATCTGGAGAGAGGAAATGATGTGCCCGAGGTCACGCTGAGACCAGACTCATGCAGAAGTGCCTGGCCCAGTCCCTGGCCCAGAGGGAGTGCAGGGCAGTGGTCAGGAGCACAGCCTTTGACACCAGACAGCCTAGGCCCAGTTCCCATCATGCCCTGACCACGTGCCACTGGGACAAGTCATGGAGAACCTCTCTGAATGTCAGGCTCTTCACGTGAGGGGCAGATAAAGCATGGAAGAGACTGAGCACGGTGCCTCGTGTATAATAAGCACTCGATGAAAGGTAGCTGTCATTGTCATTGACAGTAATAATAAATTCTGGTTTTCTTCTTCCAAAAATCTCAGTATTTCCTCTGCAAGTTTTACATTTTGCTCTAGTCACCTGATAAAGAAGGCTACCCTTTTCCCAGCATTTTCTCTTTTATTATCTGAAATGGCCATCCTCCACCCCAGTTTTTTGCTAAAACATGCAAAGGTCTGGAGGGCCGATCTATGGGTCCGAGTGAAAATGATCTAAGGGCCCCTGACACTGGACGTTCATGGGTAACTGAGGACAGAACGATGGGAGCATGTGGGGGGCAGCTGGGGAAATGCGGGGAGCTCCTGGTCGCAGAGCACTGGACGGAGAAGGTCACCGCCGGCTCCTCACACACGACCTTCTCTGACGACGGGCGGTGGTTTCCCTGAATAAGCAGCGTTTCTGCTGTCCCCCAGCCGGAGCGGTGCACCGGAGCCCCTGTGCCGTCCACCACGCCACACTCCCTCCGACGCACCTTCTATGCGAGGACAGGTGCCCGAGGCTGGGGCCTCAAACAGAGACTGAGAATGGCATGATAGCGAACTCGAAAGGCCACTAATTACTGGCAAAATGTACGTGCATTCAATTAAGTGGGGTCCTAGGGTTAAGGCCCGTCCTTTCTGGGGAGGAGCTTATCACCTCCTCCTCTAGCTCAAACCCAAGGAGCAATAAAAAGGGAAACGAGAAAGACGACGGAGGAAATCACCAGCAAGGAGAATGAAGCCCTGTGAAGGGTTCTGTTTTACTTTCACCAACACGACCGCCTGCTGCCCCGCCCCCACCCGCCCCCTGGACTCGGTCAATGGCTCCTGAGCACCTGGAGCATGGCCTTGTGTTCTCTCGTCCGCTCCCCATCACTGCCATGGTGGACCCCGATTAACACCAAGACTGGTTCTAAGACGTGTGACACAGCCCGGTCACGAAGTCTTCTGACCCCAGAGCCCTCCCTGCCCACCCGAGTCCCCACCTTATAAAGAAGTGAGGTAAGGAAGCGACCTCCCCAAGCTCTCACATGCACACAGCGCAGCTGGAATCTAAAACCAGGTCGAGTGGCACTGAACCCAGCAGCTGTGCCGTCACTATAGCAGCTGACTCCGCACACGTGCCCGTGGGAAGGTGCACAGCGACGCTGGGCCCGACCCAGCCAGCGTCCTCCAGCGGCACCAGCCTCGCCGCAGTCACTCGAGTTACACGTGAGAAGAGAATAGCTGGTGATTAAGCATAAAAACCTGACTGTCCTTCCAGTCATGGAGGAGTCACCGGGACCAGATGACCTTCACGCTGTCAACAAAGACCGGGAAGAATGTATGAAGCCACTGCTTCCAGAGCACAAACGGGGTTCTGGCCCGGAGGATCGCTGGGCCACAAAGCAGGGCAGGGGTCTGAACAGCACGTCTCAGAGCCGCAGGGGTGGGTGACGCTGAGGGGCGGCGCCGGAACAGCTCCTAAGGCAAAGTGGTGATAAAACGAACCGCGAAAATACTTCGACTGAAGAAGGCAGAAAAGGCGGGGGGCGGGGGGGGAAGCAAATACAACAGAGAACAAAGAGCAAGGTGGTAAACTTGAATTCACCAGATAAATAATTACATTAACTACAACTGGTCTAAACACTCCAATGAAAAGATTAACAGACTGAATTAAAAAAGCAAGACCCAACTATATGCTGGCTACAAAAATAAAAACCATTTTAAATATAACACATATGTTAAAAGTAAGAGGATGCAAAAGGGTACCACAAAAGTCAGAGCGGTCACGAAAACATCAGACAAAGCAGATTCAGAACAAAATACTACTAGAGACAAAGAGGGACAGTTCGTACCAGTGAAAGGTCCCGCCATGGAGAAGGTGTCAGAATCAGAAACATCCGCGTGACAGGGAAGGAAAACGGCTGTTAACTCAGAGGAGAGGCAGTTAAAGGCCCTAGTAGGGTCTCCCTCACCCCCTAGTGCAGAACAAGTGGAGAACACACAGGAAGCCTACGGGAGGCCTGAACAGCACCCAGCCGCCCGGCCCACACCGTGCCGACACCACGCTGCGCCCACACCGCAGAGCGGGCGCCCTCCAGGCCAGCGTGGACCGCTCACCCAAGCAGGCCGCACGGCAGGCCTGCAGACACGAGCAGATATGCTTTTAAACGATCGAAGTCAGAAAGGATGTGTTCTCTGATCATAACTGAATTAAATTAGAATCAACAATAGAAAAATTTCTAGAAAAATTCCTAATAGTTGAACATTAAACAACACACTACTCATTAACCCAGAGGTCAAAGAAGAAATCACAAGAACTAAATAAAATAAAAACAGTATGTGTCAGATGCGGCTGAAACAGTGCTTCAGGGAGATTTATAACTTCAACGCTTCTTTTAGAAAAGATTGGTCCAAAATCAATGTTCAAGCTTCCTCCTTAAGAAGCTAGAAAAAGAGTAAATTAAACTGAAAGAAAAGCAGCAGGAAATAATAAAAAATAGAAATCAATGAAACAAACAGAGGGGAAAAAAATCAATGAAACTAAAAGTTAGATTTTGAAGAGATAAACACAACTGATAAAATTCTAGTTAGACAGATTAAGGAGAAAAGGAAAAAGACAAATTATCAGGAATGAAAGAGAGGACATCTCAACAAATCATTTAAACATGAGGAAACATCAACGACTTCACACCAACACATTAGACAACTAAAATGAAATGGATAAACTACTTGAAAGACCCGAATTATTAAAATGGACACATGAATTAGAAAATTTGAATAGCTTCATATCTGGAAACAAACTGATTAAATTTACTGAATATACCTTCCTGCTAAGAAAATTCCAGGCCCACATGGCTTCACTTGAAAATTAAATCGAGGATTTAATCAAGAAACAATCCTACATAAAGCACTTAAGAAAAAAGGAAAAAACGCTTCCCAGTTTTTTTAGAAAGCCAGCATCACTCTGATATCAAAACCAGACAAAAACACTAAAGACACTTCAGACAAATATTCCTCATGTGAAAATCTTTACCGCAAATAAAAATCTTTAATGAAAAATAGAAACCAAGTTTCCTGGGAATGCAAGGTTGGTTTAGATTGAAAAATCAATGTAAACTATTTCTCCTAATTCTGTTAATATGGTAAAATAACTGAACAATAACTGAACCTTTTAATCCAAGGAGGACTTCCTCACCCTGACCCACGTAAAACCTACAGCTGTGAGGTCCGCTCTCGCCCTTCGGCGCTGTTCTGAAGTTCTGAAGGTCCTAGGCAAAGGGGAGAAGGCACGGAGACCTGGGAGGAAGTCAGACTGCCACTACTCGGAGATAACATGATCGTGTATGTGCAAAATCCTAAAAAAATAAAAAGCTACGAGAATCAAAAGTGAATTCAGGGAGGTCATAGGATACAAAATCATGTAATCGATTTTATCTCTAGAAACTAGCAATAAACACTTAGAAAATGCAATTAAAATAACCTTTACAACAGAATAAAATATGTGCAAATCTTGTACATTGAGAAGTAAAAAAAAAAAAAAAAAAGCTAAAATCAAAAAAGACCTAAATAAATAAAAATTATATTCATGGATTAAAAGGTTCAATTATTGTTCAGATATTAATTATCCCCAAGCTGATTTATATTCAGTGAAATCCCACTCAAAATCCCAGGCTTTTATTTCTAAAAGTTGACAAACTGACTAGTATTTACATAGACATACAAAGGACTTAGAATAGCCAAACTGGTTTTCAAAAAGAACAAAGTTGGAGAACTCCTTGACCTGATTTAAGACCGTGAAGCAGCTACAGTGATTCGGCAGTGTGGTGATGGCTTAAGGACAGACCTACAGACCAAGTGAGCATTTACGGAATCGAGGAGACCCATGCACACAGGTCAACTGAGTTTTAGTAAAGTTTAACCACCTACTCAAGGGCAGAGGCGAAGTCTGCAGAGCCCACATTCACACCTGGGCAGGTGGCCTTCTGAGTCCGCTTCCTTCACTCTCACAGGACGCTGTCTGACTGCACAGAGGAACCGTGCCAGAGGGGACTCAGACACGCTGTCAGCCCTGTGCCAGACGCCTTGCACAGGTTCTCAGCCGCCAGCACCCGTGTAGGGTCTGGGCATTACTGCCACTTCCAGGGCAGAAAGCCTGGTTGTGGTCACCTAGGGATTCGGGGGCTGACCGGGAATTTCTCCATAGCTGCTGTGCGACCAGTAAGAAAAGTGACAGGTGAGGAATAACAAAAGTGATATAAAATCAACCGGAAATACAAAGAGGGCTGTGGAAATCCTATAATAAGCGAGAGCTTTTCTCTGGGAAGTGGAAAGGGATGAGTTGAAAGGAATAAAGTTCTTTCAAAAACCTGAGTCTCTAAAGTCAAAATTAAGTGACAGGACCCCACATCCCTCACTTCAGAACCTAGCTGCTTTTCAGTGATGATTCAAAAGAAACGGGAGAAACCCTTTTCATGAAGATGGTGCCAGAATCGGAGGAGGCGGCCCCGGCCCCTCCCCAAAGCCGAAGCAAAGGCTTTGAAGGCAAAGAAAGCAGAGCTGAAAAGTGTCCACAGGCACAAAAAAGATATGCATGTCACCCACCTTCCAACAGCCCAAAGACCCTTGGAAGAGCACCCCCAGGAGACACGGGCTTGGCCACTACACCACCATCAAGTTCCCCGACTTCCAAGACAGCCACGAAAAAGACAGAAGTCAACGATACACTTGTGTTCACTGTGGAGATCAAGGCCAGCAGGCAGCAGGTCACACCGGCTGTGAAGCTCTGTGGCACTGACGTGGCCCAAGCCAGCACCCTGATCAGGCCTGACGGAAAGAGAAGGCACATGTTCGACTGGCTCCTGACTATGATGCTTTACATGTTGCCAACAAAATGGGATCGCCTAGCTTTAGTCCAGCTGGTTAATTCTAAATATGAAAACTTTTTGCTGTAAGAAAAATAATAAAGAAAAAGGAAAAAAAAAAAAAAGAAATGAGAGAAGACTAACTCGGAAAGGGACTCAAAAAGCTAGTACAGGGAAGGCCTGTCTTCTCAGCACTGGGGCTGGAGGCTGGACCCCTCTGATGCTCCGAGCCAGCAAGGCAGAAGCGCCTTGCTCCGCTCAGCCCAGTCAGGGGTGTGAATTCTGGTGTCGGGCTATCCCGGTGTCAACCTGAAGGCTTTGCCACTAAGTGTGACCTGTGTACATTATTTAAATTTTTTTTGCCTGTGTTTCCTTAGCAGTAAAATGGGGATCATAATTATATCCCTTATACAATATGGGTTGTCTTGAGGATTTGATGATAAAGACAAAGCACTTAGGGCAGTGCCTAGTCATTGGTGCTGCAGAAACATTCTCGGCTCTGTGCCCGTGTCACTGGTCCTCCAGGACTTGTGTTCCTGACATCGAATCGCAGCTTCTTGTTCCACACTTATTCCGGAGACAGAGTAGCACTATAGAATCTGCCTGGGTCGGGTCAGACTCCTGGCTCTGCTTCTTCCTGGGTGCCTTCATGTGAGGCTCAAGTTCCCGGCTGTTGAGAAAACCCTCCTGCACAAATGGGGCTCACGTTACCGTCCTCGCGAGGCGGAGGTGAGGGGCAGAGGTGAGATAGAAGACTGCTTATCAGCACAGGGCCTGTCACACGGACCACCAGCAAAGGTTTTACTAGTTCTCACTTCCGACATCAGGAATGTAACCTAGTTCTCTGACTACTGTGTCAGGATATGACGGCTTGAAAAAGGTTTCCACTGCTCAGGGGCAGGCGCCAAGAGCGTAAGAAGTCTACGAGTCGCCGAGCCTGTCAGACTGCAGAACGCACGGCTCAAACTGAAAAGCTACCTGGAATTTTAGCTGATGCTGCCTCTTAACATAATCTTATTATGGAACACAAAGCTTCTGTCCAGGACCCATTTTCCTTTTTTTTTTTCACCTCTTTTCTGCGTGACCTGAGAGCCCTCCTAGGTGTGCACTGTGGCCTCGCTTCAGTGGTCCCTGCTCAACGTACACCGCCCCTGTCCCACCGGCTTGGCAGAAATGCCTGATGGTTGACGGGGTGATTCATATAGCGTTTCTACAAAGAAGAACACAGGGTATGCTGAGAATCTGCACCAGAGAAAGGAAACTCACGCCTGATGAGCAGGCTGTGGTAAACCGAAAAGCAGAGACATCTCCGGGTTCTGGTTACTGAGGGATAATGACCTTGAAACACCCTCCCGGCAGGAACTGGAAAAAGGAACCTTCCCGGTTACATGCGGTATTTGTGGCTGACAAGCAGCGGAAATGTAACACTGCCTATGCCTGATTTGGGGGGGAGGTGCTTTTCCTATGTGCCAAATCGTGTTAATTCTCACTCTACCCTGGGACACAGTTATTATTCCACCTCCCCACACTGTCTCCACTTGAAAATAGAGTAGCTAGTATTAGAATCCAGGTCTGTTTGAAAACTTGTACTCCATTATTCTATTTCTAAGAAGAAGTAATAAGAACTAGTAGGTATTGCCATCCCTCTCTTCATCTAATGTGTGAACCACTTTGTGAAAGCGTAAACTTTCAAAGAAAAGACAGCAGTGCTCCATATTTTCATACACGTTTGGCGGATGTCAAGGACCTTGTGAAGTTCATAGATCCTATGAGGTTCAACATATCATGTAGGTCCCCTATAAACCCTTGAAAGCCTGAGTCCATTTCTAGAACCTTAGGAAACCAAGGAGTAGTAATCTCAGGAGCCCGACAGGAAAATCTAAGGCAGGTGTTGGCAAACAATGGACCATGCACCAAAACCAGCCTGCCATTGATTCTTGTAAATAAAGTTTTATTAGGACACAGCCAAGCTCATTTGTTTACTTATTATCTATAGCTACTTCTGTGCTAATGGTGAGGTTAAACAGTTACGACAGAGACCGCAAGGCGCACAAAACCTAAAATATTTACTATCTCTCCCTTTACAGAAAAAATATGCCGACCTCTGACATAAATTATGAATGAGACTATACTTATTCTAAGGGAAGCTTGTAGCAAAGAAAACAGACAAACACCCTGCCAGGAAAGCCATCATCTCAAACTTTTTAAGATTAGGAGAAGCAAAGAAAAACAAAACATCTGCCAATAGAGATTACTGATGAAATCAAGCCTCCGAGGCACTAAGCTTTATTAGAATCGTCAGTGCTTATTCAACAGACACATAACATGCAAGATAACAAAACCTCTTGTTTTAGGGAGAAGTTAAGAAAATCATAATGAGTAAATGCTACTGCCAGTTGTGACAGCCTAAGAATTAGCCAAAAGGTCTCTCAATCACGAAGTGTTTGGAAAGATCAAGGACTGTATGTAATGAGCAGAGTGTGGTCCGGAGGGCTTTGTGAGACAATTGATAAGCCCTGAAGGAACAGAGGGAAGGAGTATCGTCAAGAGCCAGCTGTATAGAAGAGGTGGTAACTGACTAGAACAACAAACACTAAAATTCAAGGATTTCTCTTGATGAAGGGAGAAGTCAAGTGTTTAATATAATCTATCCCTTCAGACAAGGCAGACTTACATTATCCAGGTCCTTTCGCAGTGCGATCTTGCTGGTCACCAGCTCATGGGCTAAGTCATCATTTTCCTGTTCCAATCTCATGTTAGCTTCCTGGAGACGCCTATTCTCCCGCTGAAGGGTAAAAAGAAACCAGTTTCAGACACATAAAAGTCAGATGAAAGTGACAATTTCTCAGGGCTAACCCTTAAAACTACTTTTGAGTCCTATGGAAATTGTGAGAGACGTGGCCGGACTCAATGTGCTACTAAGCAATAATTTCTTATTTTCTGTCCCCGCAGAGAAATACTTAACTGATTCAAGTGACCCTGTCAAGCAGCCACTGCTCATTAACTGGGCCAAAAGGCCACTGAGCTGTAACAAACTACGCAGCTGGTGTGAAACAAAACAAACCCCTTTTCTCGTTTACAAACTCAAACTGAAACTTGAACCTAGAAACGGTGGAGCCGAATTTTAAAAAGAACTCACTAAAACTAGTCGCAGGCACAATTATATGAAATGAATACTGCAAGCTCTTCACAGCACATCGGCCACAAGCAAACCAACCTCGAATCGTTCGATGGGGTCTTCTTGCTGGGCCTGCTGTTCCCTCATGGTGTGATACTCTTTTTCATATTTCTTCAACTTCTTCTGACTAATCTGTAGGATAAACCACAACACAAATTTTAAAAGTATCGGAAAGTGGGCGGGTGCTTCAGGGCCTTCACTAAAGACCAGGACGTCCGCTGCCCGGGGCACCCCAGCCACTGTGGAGGCAATGTGCCCGAGTTTTAGAGAAGAATCATCAGGATGGGGGTAAGTCCAGGACCCCAAATTCTTACTCAACGATACTGTGTCCAGGATTCCGCTGCAGATAATCACCCCCAACAGTGTCAGTGTCAGAACAAACGCCCCACAGACATAACTCCTATCTGAGTCCTCGGTCCCATGGCCCCTAATCACCACCACCATCGTCATCCTCCGCCATTTGATTTAGCATATACCGGCAGGGCTACAAGGTGCTTTCAATCTGTGGCCTTGCGTCACCTCTATAAGGTACAGTATTATCACCCTGCAAGTTAACTGAGGTCTACAGAGGTTATGTAACTCGACCAAGCTCGCTCAGTTAGGGACTGGCAGATCTGGGATTTGAACCCAGGCTGCGAGACTCCATCCAAAATCCAAGCTGTCGCCACTTGACCCCCCCGCCACCTATGACCTTTCCTGTCCACCAGCTCTGTGCTTCCAGATAGGAGCGACTTTCTCTGCCCGAAGCAGCACAGCTCTGCCGACCACTCACGCTGCTCTCCCGCCTCGACCTGCTCCCCGCTGTCTCTCAAGCTTTTCTCACCCACTGCCAACCACAGGTCTACACCGTCCACTCCCACCGCTTCATGGCCTCTCTATAACCTCTTCATCTAAATTGAGCTTTTGCTCCGACTCCTCTGTAGAAAGTACCCTCCTGGAGATCACCAACTGTTTATTTTTCACTCCATCCATGGGTCCTACGCCTCCCCAACTAGACCAAAACTCCTGGACTTCCATGCTCTGACATGACCGAGCCACGTCCTCCCTGGGAAGTCTTCTCTCGCGTCGTCCTCTTAGCTGTCCTCCTCCCTAACCCGCTTTCCCCTCCTTTACTGGGTAGCCGTTCTCTCTCCAATCCGACCCATAACCAAGGGCATCCCTTCTGGATGCGACTCTTAAGTCTGTTTTTGATTTCTTCCTCTAAACTGCTGAGTCATTCTTTTTGATTTTTTAAAATTATATTTAAAAAAATACGAAATTTAAGAAATAAAAAAGTGAGGAACAGATACACACAATTTAAAGAATGACACAAAGCCAACACGCATTCCTTGCAGAGCTTGGACAATCGGTACCGCACTGCTGACTTGCAGGTTGTCAGCCCCCAGGTTCCAGGTAACCAGGGCTCCCAGACAGAGCCGGTCTCGTCCGGCTTCCTCAGTTTAGGGGTGAAGAAACTGAGATCTAGAAAGGGGGTGGGGCAGGCGCAAGCCTGCGGTGCGGTGCCATCCAGTGCGCCTTCATTTCTCCCCCACCGACTCAGTGGGCGCCTGCTCTCGTCGGGATGTTTGCAGGTCTGCCTCGGTCAGCGCTTATGCCGGGAGTCTGGCTGCTGCCTGAGGGGAGGCACAGCCTGGAACACAGCACTGAGCCCTGGCTGCAGCCTACAGAAAGTGTCCATTAAACACGTGGGCTGAGGCTACGAGCGGTGAGTGACATCTTTAAACTTGGATCTTCTGCGGTTCAAGTCCAATGCCGGGTTAAATGGGGTTTACTGTACATGTGACTCACAAAAAAAGCACCTAAATAGAACATCTGTGTATGAGTAAATTTATAAACAATCCTAACAGTTCAAAAGCAGAGGAACAAGAAATAAATGAGGCTTGTGGGCAGTAAACACTTCCTCCCAGTGCTCTTTGCTATCAATCTGGGTACATGACGAAGAGGACAGTGGACTGAAGCTCCCCTTAGTGCTTTATAAAAAGTAAAAACCCCGACACCAAATCCTACAAAACATTCTCACAAATCTCCAGGATGCTCCAACTTTTCATTTTCATACTGAGGTAAGGAAGATTTAACATTTTTTCCCCCTATAAACATACATTTTAAAAGGCTAATTACAAAATAATTTCTTCTACATTTCATTATCCCTTATAATAAATGCCTCGTTCTCAGAGCAACCACTGTAACAGCTGTCAATGCACAGCGAGCACGTGATGAGTGCTAGACCTTCCATGCGTGTTGTTACTTGGCTCTTACGTGTCCACAGTAGGACACGCGCATTTCTGTACGTGTGCGCTATGTTTTCCAAGTGTTCTGCACTGAGTGTAAATTATTTGTACAATTAAGCAAACAAAATAAATGCTGTTTAAAAATACCTCCTATAATTATGCCGGGCTTCCCTAAGACACAGTGCTGCCCCTTTCTCTAGATGACGCCTCCATGACGGTTCTGAATTAGTCCTGGGGGTCGCCCGTCAGGAGTGCACACAGACGCGGCTCCCCGCCTTCCACAGAGCCGGCTGGTCCACAGGCTGCCTTCTCAACCAGCTCAAGTTCCCTTCCCGTCCCTCAGCCTCACTGATTCTTGGTTTCTCCCTCTCTCCCTCCCTCCCTTAAACACTTTACCCCCTGACCCCCCACCAACAAAAAAATAAAAACAACATTGCTTATAATGGGTTCACAGCTGATCCTGACTTTCGGAGCAGGGGTGGCTGCATCCCAGTGCCAACGCATTCAGGCTGCCTCTGAGGCAGACTCCGTGAAAAAGAATGATGCCTGACGCCCAAACGGGGAACCGAGAGGTACCAGCAGCAACAGCACCAATTCAAACCTCCATATGCGGCTGCACCAAGGAGACATCACGCCTCTCAGCTCGTGCATGGACAGAGTGCCCAGAACTGCCCGTTACATCAGTAAGGCAGGACCCCGTCCTCTTCTGAATGGAAACGGCAACCGAAGTGAACGTACACTGCCAGCGTGGTCCCTCCGCCTGAGCAACCCCACACGAGGCTCACCCCTTCTTCAGATCAGAGCTCCAACATCACTTCTTTGGGGGACCCTGCCTTCCCTGACACCCTCTGCCCTCTATCAGGCCAGGTCATCTGTGATACAGTCTCGCCGCATCGAGTCAGTTGCTCCATGGCACCTGTCCAAGCTCATAATTATGTGTGTGCTCACTCAACTATGCGTCTTCCAGTTAGGAAACAGGTCACCTGTTTTGCTCACCAGACGCCCAGAGCCTCACTCAGTGCCTGGAACATAATTGGGACTCAATAATCAGATGCTGAACAAATCAGAGCCGACGGCCCTCCTTTACCCTCCTCAGGATGCAGCGGCGATGTCTACTCATCCAGCCGCTGACTGCTACTACGTGCAGTGCTCTTCGCCAGGCACTGGCGATACAAAGGTATACACAGAGCATGATATGCAGACTCCACAAGAACGCATACTCGCTGTGAAATTCCCGATGCCTGGCGCACAGTAAGCATGAAAATAACGAATACAGAGTCCCCACTCTTAAAAATCCAAGTTTCATTTCTGTCTCTTACTTACACCGATTACATTTTAATTGACTTCAGGAAGTAGGGCAGCCATGGGATCTAATCACACCCAGTCTGACTCCTATCAGAGAGCTGTGGAAATCGCAGCTTCACACGCAGTGGAATTTTTGCCTTCAAATATCGAATTTGAAATTTGTTCTGTTTAAATGTATTTTGGGGGGCGGGGGAAGACCTTTAATAGTTTTGAGATAAGATGGAGTTTGAAATTTAGGTAAAACCAATTTTTTACCCCACTGCAACTAGTACAGAGACTCAGCATGGTTAGGAACAAACACTGTCCCCATAAAAAAGCACAGAAGTCTGCCTCCACCCCGACCCAGCAGAACACTCTACGCTCATGGGCTCCTTGGGGGCCATCCCTAGTCCCCAGTTAGGAAACCTTGAATTAGGAAGTAGAGACGTGGAACATGTCAATGTCATATTTTGGTGGAAGTATAAATTTAGTCCAAATCCCTCCTCTTGGTCATTCACTCGTCATCAATCTGTCACCCTAGGAGAATTGGATAATGAATTAAAACATGAGTGACTTGCCCTGGGAAAGGTGGCCCTTGATCAGCCTCTGGAACAGGCAGGATGACAAGGCCCACACAGATGGCTTGGGTGGGGGTGAGGTGGTACCGTCTGCAGGCGGACAGGCCAAGGAGGCTCGAGTCCGGGCTCGGCTGGCGACCGAGGCCAAGCTGTCTTATCTCGGCCTCACGTTGATCGTCTGGGGGAATCGCGACAGTCCTCATGAGGGCGACTGTCACGAGGCGCGCAGGCTACAACGACACATGTCTTATAAAGAGCTCAGAAGAGTGCCTGGCGCATGCGAGGTCTTTTTAATGAAGGATAGCGATTGCTTCTTATTGATATTGTCAGCCTGAATCAGAGGCAGACTATTCTCTGAACATGTGCTGCGAGCAATGAGCCATTTAAACAAAGTCCATTTAACAGAGACGAGCAGGACATAGGCCGCTGGTAGGAACAGGAGCTGATTTCCAAGTCTGGCTTAAGAAACTATTGCACAGATCAGAAGCCTCGCTGGGCTGGAATCATAGGGAGTCCAGTGAAGGCGGGAGGTTGAATGTCAGTGGCTCTTCGTGGCAGGGCTGAAGGATGCTGTGTGGGCCTTGAAACTAATAAAATATAAAAAAATAATAATAAAACAAAATAAGAAGATAGTGACTATCACTACTCTTGCAACACTGGCAAAATTTAGAGTACACTGACGAGAACGAGCAGCCGCTCAGAAGTTTCCTCATAAAATCCAATTCTAAAGGGTAGGATCAAGCAAAAAAGTAAAATGATAGCCTGGTCTAGTTAGAAAGAAATATAAGGTACAGTAGAGAGAGAGAAAGTTTCAACACTGACAGAGACTAAGTTGCCCATCATTATATGACAAACATCACCAAAAATGGGCCAATACAAGTGTCTCTTGTCCTGTTCATTCAATCCCTTACTTACAGTAAAGCACAGTGACAATAAGCACTGACTTTAGAGCCTAAAATTTGTGGGATCTAATCCCTACGCAATCACTTACAAATTTTATACCTTTTGGGAGTTATCTTCAATTTTCTAAGCTTTAGTATACGCAGTTGTAAAAGGACCCTCATGTAGTCACTGTAAGGTTAACTATGTGAAGACATTACAGAAAATTCCATGAACACACTATGAAAAGGCTGATGAAGTCACTGCAATCATAGAGCTTAAAATCCTAATGCACATGAACTACACAAATGATCTGAGCATAGGATGAAATTCAAACTTATACTGCTTTTAGCTCATGAATAAAAAATATTCTCCTAGGGCAAATATTCCCAAATGCCAGAGTATTCTCTTTCTCTGAATGGCAAATGATTAGTGTTACATTAATTTGGAGGTACTGCTATTTGATTTTTGTAGTAATATCTTTAAAGTCTGGCATTTTTGCTTTATGTTTGAAATAACAAATTACAATGAAATAATGGTTCAGAAATACCATTTCACCTAAGGCAGGATTCTACAGCAAAAGGGTCAAGTCTGCGGGTTTGATAGAAGAAACTCACCGAGCCATCCCTTTTAGCGTGGTTCCTGCTTCTTCTAAACTAGCCTCGCTATCTGACTCTAAAATCCATGTATAGACATAAAGAAACAGTTCTGTCATATATACATAATTTTTTTTTTTTTTTTTTTTACGCCTACAGCACCTGGTCTTCCTAGGCAGTCTCCCATCCAAGTACTAACCAGACTCGACCCTGCTGAGCTTCCAAAATCAGACAAGATCAGGTATGTTCAGGGTGGCATGGCCGTAGACTTCACATATTTCTTAAATCGAAAATTTAAAAGACCTAAAAATGAAACTCCCCCCTGCCCCCAACCCCTGCCAAAAGACAACGCATGCCACGGTTATGAGTGTGAAAGGTTGCAGAGCTCCAAGACCACTCACGAAGTCCTAGAACAATATATTAAAAGTGGAATTCCTTCCAGACCTTATATCAGAAGTGGAGACAATTTTCCTATCTCGGGACACTGGCCCATAAAGGAAGAGAAATTCAACGTATGGCTAAATGAGTTTTGATGTGTGTTATTAAATTTCAGATTAAGAGCAGGAGATCTGAAACTCCTCAAAAAATAAATGTTTCAGTCCCATAATAAACCAAGGAGAAAAAGGGAGAAGGGGAGAAGTAAAGGGGCTGAAAAGAGATAAAACTAGGGGGAGGCAAGTTAAGACAGATACAGGGAAAGATTTATGGAGAAGAGGAAGACAGGCACAGGGAGGAACACAGACTCTCTTGAGCAACACGCCCATCTTGTGGCCGTTTCAGGAGTTGCCACAATAGACAAATTTC